TGTAGACCTTATGTCATCCAAATCACCTGCATAGTTTGAATCAACATACCCCACAACTGAAGGATCATTCTGCGGACTGCCAAAAACAATTCCATGTCCTATAATACCCTTCAGATACATGAAAATCCACTTGACTGCTTCCCAATGTCGCCTTCCAGGTTTAGTTATGTATTTGCAGACTTGACTAACAACATGAGCCAAATCAGGACGAGTACATACCATTGCAAACATCAAGCAGCCAACTGCACTGGCATATGAAACCTTTGCCATGTCTTCGATTTCTGTATGTCTTAGGAAACTGTTTTGAAGAAAGCTTGAAATGATTTGCGAAAAGAGTGCTCACAGGCTTTGCTTTGCTCATATCAAACCTTTCCAGCACTTTCTCAACATAGTCTCGTTGAGATAAACATAATCGTCTTGAGCCTCTGTCTCGTTGAATCTCCATTCTAAGAATCTTCTTCGTAGGACCCAAGTCTTTCATGTCAAATTCCTGGCTCAATAAAGCTTTCAAACCACGAACATCATTCATATTCTTTGTAACAATCAGTATATAATCAACATACAGTAACAGAAAAATAATAGAACCATTATCAAAGCTCTTCACATAAACACAATAATCATACTCACATCGCCTGTAGTCAATATGAATCATTTAAGAGTCAAACTGCTTGTATCATTGTCTTGGAGACTATTTCAACCCATACAACGATTTCTTTAACCTGCAAACCATATGCTTCTGTCCAGGTTGAGTGAACCCTTCTAGCTGCTCCATGTAAATCTTCTCCTCCATATCACCATGCAAGAAAACAGTTTTAACATCCATCTGCTCCAAATGCAAATCCCAAATGACTTCTAATGCAATCACTACCTTGATTGAAGTATGTCTGACCACAAGAGAAAAGATTTCATCATAATATATCCTCTAATCCACCTTTTTGACTGTCACAACCATGACCATGGCCTCTACCTTGTCCACGTCTACCTGTCTCTCTCCCCTTAGGTGGCTTAGGGCAAGTCTTGCTCAGATGCCCAACTTCATCATAGTTGTAGCACTCACGAGTCTCCCCTTGGACACTTCTCGTACCTGAGCTTGAGGCAACTAAAGCTAATCATGCACCCGAAAGTCCACTCAACTTAGAGTGTAGCTTCATACGAATCTCCGCATGTTTTATCGTAGCAATGGCCACATCTAGTGAAGGGATCGTCACCTGAGCTAGGAGGAAAAATCTCCTCTAATGAAAGATAGGGTTCAGATGGGCCAGAAACTCATAGTCCTAACCTGTGTGAAGATTTCCCTTTTCTTGTAGACATCAATGAGAAGTTATTATGACCATAACAGCTCTAACTCTATGGAGTACTCCTAAATCGATCTATCTCCTTGAACCACTATCTTTATCTCATGTTGAAATTGAGAATCTGGTCCACCCACATGTGGTTCCCAGCTCCAACATAGATCTTCTTCAGCTTTGCCCAAATGTCGCCCGCCTTTCGAATGTCATCTATTGATGAGGCAATCAATATAACCATCAAGTTAAGTAGTTAGGTGTAAAGCAAGGCATGTGTGGTCCTCCACTCATTCCTCTCAGCACCGCCACTCTTTGGCTCAACCCGTGCAAGACATCCCTCTAGTGTCTTCCCTACCAGAGCAACCTCGATCTGATGTGACCAACTCAGATATGTGGATGGTTCATCAAGATTCAGATCTACAAGAGGGAGATCTAATTTCACGTGGCTTGGAGCATTTGTTGAGGTAGCAGCTTCCGTCGAGATGCTAGCTCTCCGCATGAGCCCTACCAAGTTCTTCAAAATTTTAAGATTTGTCTTCCCCAGAAGCTCCAAAATTTACTTCCTGCAATATCTCTGTCTCCGAACAACATCCATTTAATTATTTCCCAATCGTCATCATCCTCTCATGCATGTAGACCAAAGTTCTCTCCTCCACTGCTATAGTTCCACGCGTGCTTCCCCTACCCTGCATTTAGCCGCTCGAACCACTGCCACAATCCAATAGCCAAAGGCGTCGTCGGTTCGATCCTACGACACGCTAGAGTGCATTGTCTCCTTCCCAGTTCATTATAATTGTGATTGTATCGTGAACACCAGAAACCAATCTGATGTGATCTCATAATTGTCTTCCCAATAACCTCTCATCGCATTTTTATCACGAGGGTTCACACCATGATCCTCTCGTTGACGTCCCTATGCAACCAAAAGAAGAGGAAACTGGAAGTTTCAGGTCTTTGCACACTGATCTTGGCTCGTTGGATCGAGCTACAATCCCCTCCTTACTATTCTTGCATGTTGCGATCCTCTTGTTGTCATCTCAACGCTGCTGAAGGAACATGAAATTAGGAGTTCAAGGTTCTTGCACACTGATCTCGACTAGTCAAATTGAGCCGTGATTCCCTCCTTATTGTCCCTACGTGTTGTGATCCCCTCGTTGTCGTCCTTGAGCACCTGAAGAGGAAAATGATAGTTTCGGGCCTTCGCATTTCAATCCAGACTTGTCGGATTGAGCAACATCAACGATGATGACCATGATTATGGCTCCGGTATTATAATGAAAGAGTTGTTCAACAATCTCTTCTGTACATTCATAAGATGGGCTTGAATAGGATATTACAAATATTTTATAAATAAAGCCCCAAATTTCTTCAAAATTCTTTTTTTGCCCATAAGACTCTAAATAAGACTCTAAAGGTCCAACTCTCACACTAAATTTTTTTCTACTGATTAGTACTCTAATTTACTAGATGAAACAAACCGCTCACGTACCATTAAATTGCATTTCATATATTCATTACGATGCATTAATTGCTTACATATATATACTATCAAATACAAGCTTATTTAGAACTAACAGAATTTATTTGTGTTACTCAGCCCGGTGGTTTAATGCTTAGTCACTAAGCACCATAAAGTCTTAACCAAGAAGTCTGTAATTCAAGTCAAACACAGAAGCGTGCACGAGCATAAAATTAATACATCAACATGTGTTGCCATTATGTAGCAGCACCTAAACGTTTCACAACTTCAACTACCAGATCAAAAACAGATTTACGTCCATAATATAAGCTGTTTACAATCTCCATATGATTCATGTTTGAAACACACAGCAGAAATCTAATATCATGAAAACATCATTTAGTCCGTAATTAAATATTTAATGGGATAACTTTACACTTTTACAGCATCAATTAATTTCTTAATCCTCCATTCTTACAACCATATTATAACGATAACACTAACACACAAATAGTTGCTCAGACCAAGCTTTCATTTCTTTAGCTCATTGATTTTCTCATGCCCCAAAAACCTTCACTCAGCCTTTAGATGAACAGCAGTGACAAAGCCCAAATTTCCAGCAACCAATACTACAATTGGGATGCAAAAGATTAAAACAATATCATGGAATCTAAGATCTTATATGAAATGAAATAATAGTGCTATAAAATTTACTTCTAAATGAATTTCTGTATAATAAGATATATCAAACCAAAATTTTTATATTTATTTATATAATAGTCTAATGTTTAAATGATGAGGGCATTTACATACCACCCAATTCTTATGTATTTACATATCCAACACCCAAAATTTACAAGTTACATTTATACCACCCAAATCTTCCATATCACATCAAAAATACCACCATTTTAATTTTTAAGAAGTGAAAAACACCTTTTCATACATAGGTAAGCTGACAAATATGTAAAAATTGAAGTTGAGTTAAGAAATGCAAACACATAAGAATTAAGCAGTATGCATGAAAATTTTCCTAGAGGCTATCAAAATATGTGCATGCAGATTTTAGATAAATTCATGTTGATAATATTTTTGATATTATTTAAATATGAAGAGATTATATAAAATATAAAAATTTGGATGCAAGACAGGATGCATGCAAATCCCCCTTAAGTGTTTTTCTATGACAAAAAAAATCCAGGATGAAAGCTAACCTTTAAGCCATGTAAACCTGGACGCTGGAGGAGTTTGCACAGTGGCAAATAGGACACACATTCGCGTAAACAGCACAGTCCTCACACAGGCAGAGGTGTCTGCATGGTATAAGCAGCATTGAGATCTCCTTAGCCTTGCAGGACTTGCATGTCATCTGCTCACGGCTTAATCCCTTGCTTGCAGTTTGGAAGTAGCAGCTGCTTCCTAGAGCTGGAGTTGGGTTAAAAGAAGAGGCCGCATCATCAACTTCGCTGTCGCCGCATCCTTCCTTGCCCTGATCTGCAGCAGCAGCACCCTGAGCCAAGGCTTGTTTGAGATTGCTTTGCAGCATTCGCACCATGGACTCATTGTATTGAGCTCTGCGCTGCCAGGACTGTGCTTCCATGGCTGTGTTCTTGATTCGCTCCACGAGCTCCCTATTCTTCCTGTTCATGTTCTCAATCTCAAGTTCCTTCTCCTGCAGCTTCTTCCCCACCCCTCTCTCAATGGCATTGAGAAACGAAACAGTGTGTCTCTGCCTCATCTCCTTGACACCTTTCATGATCTGTGCTTCCTGTCAAAATATTTACATTTCAGGAGAAGAGAAGGGGAGCGTGTGGTTTGTATTAATGATCATCATCTCAGCAAAACGCATATTTGGGCATTGTTCTATTGAGTCCTTTTTTTTCCACATATTTTTATTATGTGTAAGATGAGATGTTAACTTCAATTTATAGATTTCTTTATACAAATTACCATCAATGTTAGTTTTTATCCATCATTTAAGCATTTCAGATTAGAATAAAGCCCACCCCAAATAAACATACATTTAAAATACATTTATTTTAAGTCACATGGACAACATCATCGTGGATGTAATGCTTCACTTTTCCATATTAGTAGTTCACGTCAACACAAAAAGAATAGAAAAAAATGGCAGGAAAATAGTGGACAAAAATAAATGATTTTTTCGTTATAATGATTTAATTTTCTTATGCGTCGACTTAACGTTAAATTTTTGGATGAGTTTTCCGGAACTTCAGCTACTTGTCTTCTAACAATGTTCATCTTATAAAAACTGTCATTTACAACTACTATACACAAACATGTCTATCTTAAACTTATTTTGACGCATCATCATAAATTGACGCATCATCATAAAGTGACCGCAAACTCTATCGTTGCTTCGCTTCTAATGCTAATAGCAACTCCATCTTTGATCACTTCAAAAAGCAACTGAAATTCCATTTTTGCGAACTGGAGAATTTATGAGGTATATTGAATTTGTTATAATCAGATTTCCACCAATGTTATTTACGGTGTATTTAAATATGTGATTCAATAACAATGGGAGCCAAATCCTGTAATTAATGACCCCTAGCGATAGGGTAAATACCGAGCCTATTTGCTACCTGCATTTGGGATACCTGCTTTATATAACGATATTCACATCAATTTCATGATTAGGTGAAAACTTTTAAATGAGGAAGCATATTACGAGCATTCAAACAAAATTTATCAATCTGACTTTGTTCTAGATTTAGAGAGTCTTGGTTTTGGTCATTGCTTTATTAACAGCACAAATTATATCATCTTAGGTGTTCCCCTAAGGGGATGATTTTCTTATGATTGCGGGCAACAGTTTACCAGGTGTGAAATAAGACCGATTGACAGAATACAGATTTTAGCAGCACTAATATAATCAACAAACTCAAAGGCAAGATATAGCCACTAGATCTAGAACTATATTTTAATCTAAAAGGAAAAAGCTCGAGCATAAATTTATGCAAATATGATTTTATTTATGGTGACACGAAATCTCAATGGTGCGAAAACCCATTTTTTTACCCCTTGGGTAGGTTTGGTACACTTTTGATGTAGTGATGTTTTACCACATGTTCAGATGGATATGTTTGATACTCATAAGAGTGTATGCCAAACCGGCATCTTTACACCACTTGAGATGCATTGATTCCATAGCAAAAGTATGTCAATGTAATTATATATTTTCTGTCACACTTACAAATGTGATTTTAAGTTGGTGTCTGAAATCGCATACATCAAGGTGAAGACTCAACAAGAACCTAATCAATCAATTGTGAGTCAAGGAGGTCGAACCCAATTCCTTGAATGTCTTGCCAAAACAAACAAATTTTTATCAAAGTTTTTTTTCCTTCATCATTGATCCAACAAGATATTTAAAATGTGTTGGAGGATGATTTTTATCCTATTTAAAGTGATTTAAAGGCAATTCATTATAAGGTTTCTTCATAGAGGCCTTCCGTGATTTTAAAATGAGCCCAGATGGCAATCAAGTCATTTGGGCCCAAATGAACATTTTGGTCATTCAACGCCTGTGGTTATGCTAGTAATTGGCTATTCGTTGCAATTTTTTTATAATGAAATGTTCAAATTTTTATGGGTTGATTAATGCCATGACATATTTGTTCATGTGTTTGGAAAACGCTAATACGACAAATATATAAATTGGACATATTCCACATATTCTGATCCCCTCTCTAAGCTGCAAAACTCTATATACCTATTATACCAACATTTTATGGTTAACCTATTCGTTCCATTATATGATGGATATAAGCCATAGACCATGAAATATTTTAATATCCTAATCGCCCAGATTAGGAGTACATGAAATTTAGAAGGTTAATCAACATGAAGACATGCGAACTTGAAAATTCTTACATGAAAAACACTGAGAATAACTACATAAAACCACTAAGCTTACCTCATAGAGACACGATAGAGACTCAGCCACACATCATAGAAAGAACCAACGAAAACAAATTCATAAAAAACATTGTTGCAAGAAGCATATAAATGTAGAAATTAAAAAAATAGCTTGTCCTCTCCACAACATTAGATGATCTATCTCTCACATAATGATCCCTTAAATACAAGGAGGAAACAAGAGAAGAGAAGGGGAAGAAAAATAACCCTTATGGTCTCATCTTCAAGTAAGGAAGAAAATCCTACGCGAGAGGTCTCTCTCTCTCACCAAAAGTCTCTCTAGCTCCAACCTCCAGCAACACAAGACGTCCTAAACTCGTTTCAACAAATATGCTTATATAGGAAGCTCCACAAAGGCAAGAAATTTTCTTCTAATGCTCCACGATGTCGGCATGGGCGTGCCTAATGAATATCAAACAGGCATGAGTGCGCTACTAAGCTAGCACAGGCACTTTAACCACGAGCAACTATAGCGCGGGTGTGCGGGAATGTTGGCATCAATGCACTAGTAAGGCGCGGGTGTTGTGCGAGCAACGCAAGTGCATCGACTCACTTAGTTCTCTCTTTTGCTCTGATCTGTCCTCTTTTTGTTCCCAAACAACATTCAACAACATCATTCTCACGCATACAACTATCATACTATATGCATTAACAAGAGCAAACAAACCAGAAATTAATCACATATTTCATTCACATTAAATCTTCTAAAAATGCATATTACTTGCCCTCAAGTAATTCTGTTACTTAGCTCAGATTTTTGGAGAATCATAATTTGACCTTATCTTATAGGTGTCCTTGTTTTAATAATGAAGGATAAGAATCTGTTAAGGTTTTGTGTCTTCAATCCTTAGTATGAATTTTGTGTATCTATAATTTCCTTTACCTCTCTTCAATCATATCTTTCTTAACATAATTATTCTCAATTCACTGAATCCGGTGTGACTATAATTGTTTTTATTACTCTGTGTGTTTTTAAGTTCTTAAGTCTTGTTCAAGCAATAAGCTACCCCTCAGTTTTCCTAGGTTTATAGGATTCCGGAATATCACTAAGAATGTGATTAAATCATCTAATTTGTGGAGATAGCAAGAAAACATAAGATGAAGTAATTACTATATTAACCTCAAGCTTCTTCTTCCATGGTTTTTTCATTTTTTTCTTTTCCTTCAACTTTTAATTTGGAGAGCTTTTCTGTTTTCTTTTCTCTTTTCATTTACCCTTTTTTTCTTCTTATTTTTTTTTGGGAGAATTGTTAAATATCTAGTTAAGCATGAATTTAAGATTTTTGATTTTCTAGTGCTCAGTAAGTTAAAATTTTTTAATTACCACTAAATGTGAATTCTGGTGATTATATAAATCAATTCAAAATTAGATTAGTTCTATAGTTGAATCAAGAATTAAGACTTAAAACTCAGTGCGTTAAATAGTTAGTTTTATAGGCACACTTTTCACATGTTTTGAAAAATTTTAAAAAAGGGTAATTAAATTCTAGTACTGGCTCATTATAGAACACTCCAATTCCAACCTTAGATAGATCTCACATCATCTTAACAAACTTTTAAATTCTGTTACCGTACAAAGATCCATATAATGTCAAATAAAATCTAAGCATACTAGTAGAATTATTATTAGGCCACTCCATAAGTGAAAATTCCTCCGCCAAACTTATTCGCTACTCTACCCAAATTACATAGAAATTTATCAGAAAAAGCAAGAAAAGTAAAATAAGGAATAAAATATCAAAAAACATACAGCAGTAATAAGAAAGCAGTTACTATCTACTGTGTGCAGAAGTATAGAAAAACATGTATGACTCATGTAAGCACAGGTAATCAGGAATCATAATAAAATACTGGAAGAAAAGTGAAATCAGTATCATATGTAAAAACATCTAAAATATCCACACATATCAGAGTCTCCACAAACATAACAAATACAGTCAATTCAATCTCATTAAGTCCACACATAATCAACAACTCATCAATCGTCAGCACTTGGCTCTTTCCTCACTCGTCATTGTCATCCTTCTCCATCGGAGTCATGCTATATTCTTACATTTGAAATGGTGGGGGTGTAGGGTATATCACAGGTCCAGTTTAAAGAGTCATCCATGCTTGCAGTAGATCTCCTGCGCTGCGTTGTACTAGTGGTTGTTTTGACACTGTTGTTAGTGCTGCTCGACATAGTGATGTGACTGGTCATATAAATCATGCACCTCCTAGCTAATCATCGCGAAATCAAAAGTTAGCTCATCCCCTTACTTTGAGAGCTCGACAACCGTCCTAGTAGGTCTCAGAGGGGACACATCATGTTGCGAAGAACACCCTCACTTCAAAAGCTCACTACTCTCGCACAACAACATCTGCTCGTATGACCAGATAATCTCCCTGACGATAAGCTTCAGGGGATTCAATTGCTCTACCCCCTCTCTCAAACCACATTATCAAGGCACACAAATTGGTAAACTTCTGTGGAAGACAACCCCACAGTTGTGCCGCCATTGATGATGTGGCCCAAAGAGAGCTACGATCGATCCAATATCAATCGACATGCCCCTCTGAGTGCATAAATTTAAAGTGGCTTGGTACTTCGTGACCTTAATAAGATTCCTGATGAGCATAATCCTGACACAGATGAAAGTCTCAGGCCTTGGGCTCTTTTGACATGAGAGGGCTAGGGAAATTAACAAATTTTACCTCCTGCTTACGCCATTGGACACTGTCATCGGTGAGAAAATTGATAATTTCCTCATTATCAGGGTCCAAGAAGTTTGCAAACTCACACTAGGGAATGAGGAGATTCAAAACCGAGTTGATGGTGGTTGTGTC